GTGGATCATCAAAATAAGTGTTCCTCCTAATTGTCAATCATTCTGGTGATATGTTTACGTAAGGCCATCCTACGTGCTCTTCCACATTTTCACTTACCGGTTGTGAGCCTGACATAGTGGAAAAATTGCAAATCTTGTGGAAAATAAGCTTATATGAGCAACGCAAATAGCATTCCCTCTCGGGAGTGGGTACAGGGTTGTGCATGTGTGTTTTTTCTTTAAGTGGAGAGGGTGGTTCAAAAATCCTCCTCTATACCTTTAAAATAAAAGTTTTCCGTCTGCCAATATCCCCTATCCAGTTTTAGTTTCACCTGGTTTAATTAATCAAAAAGTCTTCTTTAAGGAACCTTTTGCTATCTGATTATTAACCGATTGATTAAAAATAATCAACAAATTCATCAATTTGCAAAATAATCGTTAGTTGCAGCCCTGGTACATATAAATAGTTTGGATTTCTAAAAACCTGACATATTGTCAAAGAACATAATAAAGTGAAAGGTAAGTGACAAGATGCTGATGTTGTAGAAATTTAACTCTAAGATAATGAATATGGCTAAAAAATGGCAAAAAAGAAGATTTAAATGCCAACAGAAAAAAGCCTGGTCTCACCTCTGTTCAGTATAGACAATCTTTGGTTGGCTGTCAGTTGATACCATGGCAACCAGCAGGCGTTGGTGTCAATACAAAGGAGCAACTTCAGAGGCAGACCAGGTGATGAAAACAACTAGAATAGGATAGAAAATTAAACTATTAATACAAGATAGGGTGAGTATTTTTTTTTTTACTATGTGTCGTCAAAATCGTGACTTTTCCGTTTTCAAAAAGTAAAAAGCTTTTGAACAGCTTTTATAAGAGCTATTGTTACATACTGTATCTGCAGCATTTTCACTTATTAACTGTTACCACAAGCCAGTTCTTTTTATTAGATTGATAGAAGAAAAGAAATATAAAGAAGAAAATTATGAATGTGGAAGAAAAATACATGATTTTCAAATTACCGTTTTTCAAAGCTTTACCTGTATTTTTATATTTTTTATTTTTTACGGAATAAGGCTCGGGCACAGCGCGTTGCATTCTGGGTACGCCGCCATATTGGTAGCTAGTTGCTACGATAAACAAAGACCTAAAA